GAGAAGAGAAGACTCCTTGGAAAAGACCTTGATGTTGGGAAAGTGTGGAGGCAAGAGGAGAAGGGGACGACAGAGGATGAGATGGTTGGACAGTTTCATCGAAGCAACCAACATGAATTTGACCCAACTCCAGGAGGCAGTGGAAGATTGGAGGGCCTGGTGTGCTCTGGTCCATGGGGTCATGAAGAGTCGGACACGACTAAACAACGATGATGGGAGTTTGGCACTGCTGTGCTGAGTTTGTTGTATGTGACAGAAGTGAGGAAATGTGCTTTTTCTTTAAAATAAGGTGCATGCTCCCTGCATTGCTTGTTTGGGGCGGTATATAAGTCCAATAAATAAATAAAATAAATAAATTGTACTGTTTGGAATCTTTCCAGAAGTTTGTTTTTCTTTGAAAACTAAATGGATGGGAAGCACACACTTTCTTTTGAAGGGGAGTTAAAAACAATCGAGCATTTCTGCAAAAACAGAGGTGGAATGGGGTGTGGCCACTGGTAGGTTCAGAGGATACCAAGGAGCCTTCCCATATCCTGAATGTTTTCCTGATTTTTGGTCATTTAAATTCTATGCATATGAGAATCCATATTTTGATTAAAAGGCTTTTACAGATCTTTCTTGTAATAAAATTGTTCTGTCTTTATATTACCCAAACATTTTTGGTCCAATGATGATTATATGATTAAGCACACATTTTTCTTTGTCATGATCATATCCATTCACCTGACATCCGATCAGGTGCTTATTTTCACCTGAGTGAAGAAGGTGATGGCATCACTGTATCCTTCAGTGGTTGTAGTTAACTGCTCACACAATTGCCATGTCTTTTGTGTGTGTGTTTTTAAAAAAAGAGTTGAAAGTGTTTGTGTGTGTGTCTTGATACAGAATTCACATGGAAATACTGTAGCTTATGTGGGTGAGACCAAATCCCACCTGCCACTTTTGACTTATCTTCTAGCTTTTCCTTTTGGAAATACAAGGTTTCATTTCTTTTCTTCAGAAACTTGTGCTGTAAATAATGGTGGATGTGATCGCACTTGTAAAGATACCTCAACCGGAGTTCACTGCAGCTGCCCTGTTGGATTTACACTTCAGTTTGATGGGAAGACTTGTAAAGGTACAGTTCAGACTTTTTTTAAAAAAAAATGTAAATGGGGAAACTACTATTTGGAAGTGCATCTCAAAGAAAATCATCACTCTCTAAGGCAGGAGCAGGTATCTGTATCCTTTGACAGGTTGTTGGATACAACTCTTAGTAGTTCTTCAACACTGGCCTGCTGCCCAGAACTGCTGGGAGTAGTACTCCAAGAACATCTAGGCGGCCCAAGTTCCCTGGTTTGTGTTGTAAGCCATTCAAACAGAGAAAGCCTAGTTCTGATTTGCCCATAGCCCCTCTTGATCGTCTCTGCTCTCAAAAAGTTTAAAATGTGAATCTAAAGCAAGGATTGTTTTCTGCATTCAGTTACATCTTATGACCTCACTTAGTATGGTGCAGATGGTACAATTACTGTGTATTAGATACAGAGTAATTACATTGGGGATTAGGAAATATTACTGTACAAATTCTGCTAATGAGTCAGTTTGTCCATAGATGCTAGTCCGAATGGGTAATACTAAAGACTAAGTAAGTAAAGCAAATGGATCTGTGAATAAAATACAGGTCTGTGCACCAGACTTTGAGAAAGATGGGCAGATTAACTGAAAGGACACACTCACTGCAAGAGCAAAGCTGTTGGGTTTTAGGAATCATGCAAGGCTTGTGAGACCATCAGGCTGCTGTAAGCTAGGTTTCCCTTCCAGAAAGATGGGGTAAGGATTAAGCAAATTTGAGGAGGGGAGAGGAAGAGAAAGGGGTCATAAGGGATAAGAGGCTAAGGAAGACAAAAATGTTCCCAAGTAATTTGTTGTTTGATCTGAAAGAGCATGACAACTAATCCTCATGCTCTATTACAATGGCAGAAAGAGAGGTCATATTAGGGAAGGCAGAGTCTAATATAAACACAGACATTCAGGTTTGGATGCCTTATGCATTTTGCCAAGGTTCCTATTGTATTTTTCTCAGGAAGACAGTAAGTGCCCTCTCAGGTGTCACAAATACTTGCACATACATTCTGTCTGTTGGCAAATGTCTTTTGAAGAAATTTGGCAAAACAAGAACTGGGCAAGTGGTTGAGAAGAAAACTGAGGAATGAACACCTACTGCAGTCATTTGTGTTGGAACATCAGGGGAAGGCAGCACTAAGTGTCTGGGCCCCTGGACATAACTAATATTTTCTTAGATACCCACATAGCAAGCATAAAAGGTGTAGAAGAGAAGACAGTAATTTTTAGGAAAAAACTGTTAATACAGGGCTCTGAAAAATACTTTTCCTTGGATCATGTTAGAACCTTCATGAATAAAAACTTGGGAGGGAGGAATATCATGTTATTGTTGTTTTAAGGGAGAGATCTTGGTAAGTCATGGATGGCTCATGGACTGAGAAAGGCCAATGAGAACACAGACAGAGTTCTAACTCCTGTCCTCTGAAGATACCGGCCACTGAGACTGGCAAAACATTAGGAAGAAAAACCTCCAGAACATGGTCAAACAGCCCAAAAAACCTACAACAACCATCTCTCCCTACCGTTTGTAGTTGAGCACCTCTCCTGATCCATGAACTCCCAAAATCTCTAGCTACACAGGTCTTGAAATACCAGAAGAGGGACTTCAGGAGAACAGTTTAATGAAACCTTTTATCAGAGAGCCTGGATTCTGTGACTCAAAATGATTTTAAATTTAGCAGGATTAAACTAAGCACGAATGTCCTCAGACCCTTGGGAATTTGCCCAGACTTAAAAGAAGGAAGGAATTTCATAATTTTGCTCTAAGATGCTATTAGGAAGAATACTAGCAAGCAAGAAAGTTAATGCAATTTTATTTTACATGGTGGGACAGAAGGGTTGATCTGAAAGAAAACTGTGTTCTTTTATTTGCACAATTCCAGGAGGAGAATGCGAAACAAATACAGGCTGTTCTTTGCAACTAAGGGCATTTAATTAATCAGCTCTTAAACGTGAGCAGATTATTGTAGTCTAGCAGATTTCAAGTTTAAGATATCTGTGACGGGTATTTCTATTAAGAAAGAAAATCAAGATCCTTATGTTCCTTGCCATTCATTCATTTTTTTCTGTTTTTTATTTCAGATATTGATGAATGCCAGGCTGATAATGGTGGATGTGATCAGTTCTGTAGAAACACTATTGGTAGTTTTGACTGCAGCTGCAAAAAAGGCTTCAAATTATTATCTGATGAAAAATTATGTCAGGGTATGTTGCAGGGAGGAGCAATAAAAATTAAATACAGTTTAAAATACAGTGGGGTCTTGACTTGAGAACTTAATCCGTATTGGAAGGCGGTTCTCAAGTCAAAAAGTTCTCAGGTCAAATCTGCATTTCCCATAGGAATGTATTGAAAACCATTTGATCCGTAGCTGCTCTTTTCCGTCCATAGAAACTAATGGGAAGCTGCTATTCCGACTTCGACCACTAGAGGGGGATATTTTGTTTCTTTTTTTTCTTAGGTCAAGAAAGGTTCAGGGAAAGCAGGGAAAATACAGTCCAGGCAGTACAGTACCAGGCAGTCTGAAGACTGTCTCCCAATCCCCTCTCTAAACGCTGGGAGGAGTGAGGAAGCAGACAGGCACCCTTTTCACTGGCCAACAGTTAACTGAAAGTTCAAATTTTGCACTTTCCCTGCCTCCCACGTGGGTTTTTTTCAGTTCTTAACTCAAATCTAAGTATGTAAGTCAAGTCAATATTTTCCTATGAGAGTGGTTCTTAAGTCAAAATGTTCTTAACTCAAGCCGTTCTTAAGTCAAGACCCCACTGTATTCAGACATGTAGACAATATTGTTTTATTAAGGAATTCTATAAATAATATTGAATTGAATTAATTTTCTCTCAGGTAGTTAACAAACATAAAAACATTGGTTGTGGTATCGAAATAATATCACATTGAAAGGATGTTTTACCTTGAACTCAATCCTTTGTGAGTGTGGTTGGTGATGCATCATATGAAAGTATTTGAAGTTATCACAGATATATGTGTGTGCATGCACAGACACAGAGTAACTGAGATCTCCGTGTAATTGTTATTTTTACAAATGCATCTTTCTGATAACTCTGTGAGATGTGCTGTACATAATGGCCAGAATTTTATTGGGGGAATGTGAACCCGACTATCCCTGGTGGGGTTGGCAGGCAAACCCTCCTTCAGGGTTCACATGATCTGGCTCAAGTCCAATGGGATTTATTGCAACAAAGGGTGAGGAGAGAACAACTTTGGGAGTCTGTGCCACTCCTACAACTTGTCCCGAGCTGAGGTTGACACAATTTGCCCCTGCACATTCCTGGCTAGTTCTGGGCTCTGAGTGAGCTTCACTGGTGCTTGTGAGTCAGCGTGAGCCTCGATGGAGGGCCAAGGTAAGGTATATGGAGCAGGGATGACTTGAAAGCTTGCAGTAAGGGCAAAGTGCAGGGTCTGGCAATCTTGGCTACAGCTGCACCTGCTGCTGGAAGCACTGCTGGTTTTCCTTCTGCCTCTTTAACTTACAGCATTATCTTGTGTTGGTGTGGGGCCCGCTTGACCTGGCTCAGGTTGGCAGTGATGGTCTCCACATTGTGGCCAATGGGGTCCACTCTGGCAGGTGTCCTCTGGTGCATTGCCTTGCGCTCTGGGCACATGAAGTTCAACAAGGATCTCTGCCCAGGGATCCTTTTGATAACATAGTCCCAGTCCTATTCCAGCTTTGGGATCTCCTCCCGACTGTAGGCTTCTTCCACCTCCTCCTGTGTGTCATTCAAGGCTTCTTCCTCCTCCTCTGGATCACATGAGTCCCTGTCTGCTCTCAGCATGTGTCCCTCTCACAGACCACCCCACCCCCACCCAGGCTTCCCTTGTAGCTCCCAGCTGTAGGGAGGCATCCCCACCTTCACCTCTCCCCAAGTGTTTCTCCTCAACAGCAATCACCTCCTCATCCAGGTCCTCTTGGATTCAATGGCTGCCATTGCCCTTGTGCACAACATTTTTCTCAAAAGGATTCTGGCCAATATATTTAATATTGTATTCTGAAGATTAATTCCTGTTGATTTTTACTGGGGAAAAATTAGCTAATTGTGTTGTACTTTCTATTCATATCCCAACAGAGAATTAGCAATCAATTAGTATTGATGTTATTTGCAGAGTGATAACATAAACAAGGTAATACTGGTGAGCACTCCAACTCCGGAGGCATTCAAAAGAAAATTGGACAACCGTCTGTCAGATCTAATTTGATTTGGATTCCTGTATTGAGCAGGGGTTTGGACTCGGTGGCCTTATAGGCCCCTTCCAACTCAAATATTCTGTGGTTCTGTGATTCTATGGTTTCCATTCTGGGTAGGTGAGGCTCATCAGCCTTGGAAGGCAGCCCATCTAGGAGAAGGAAAACTCCGATTTCAAACCTCCACTGCCTTGTGGCTATATCCATCAGTGGAAGAGGCTTCAGGAGTTAACCTTGAGGCAAAATCCGGAGTCGGAGTCCCGGAGGCAGTTTGTGTTGTTCTGGCAACTCCTGTGATGTTGCTGGCACCAGTTGTATTGGCTCTTGCCTTTCTATTGAACTATTTCAGCAACATGGAGAGGGGAGATTTGCTGCTTTGGTTAACAGCCTATCCTCCATATTATTTTACCCAGGCTTCATGCTCTGGAAAGTATACTCCAGCTTCACATATAGCGTTGAGACAACACAGGAAGTAGCAGTTACTGGTTATAAGTCTTTGCTCAATTGGTGTAGAGCATGATGCCAGGGGCTACTTCTGATGGTGGGAGAGGTCATTGCACCTCACTAGGTAGCTACCACCCGCTTTAAGCTGGACATTCCCCAGCCAGTAAGGTGCTACCTCTCCACGGTCTGTTAACCCCATGGGATGCATGGGGTTTAGGGTGAAAGCCGACAATCAGATCGATAACCCTGCACCATGCAACAATCGTAAGAAAACTTCTGCCCTAAAGTTGGGCACCTGGAATGTTCGGACAATGACCCTGGCTTTTCTGACGATGGCTTTTCTGACGACCTGCAGGAAATAGAGAAAGTGCGCAAGACAGCTGTCATCGGCATGGAACAGAGTAGATTGCAGATGGAAATTGTTGCCCTGCAAGAGATGAGATTGCCAGACATGGGATCTGTCAAAGAAAAAAACTTCTCATTCTTCTGGCAGGGAAAACCATTGAATGAGACCAGGGAACATGGTGTTGGCTTTGCGGTCAGAAATATTCTGTTCTGTGGAACAGTAGAAAGAATCCTATCACTGCAGCTCCAGTCATATGCACCAACACTGTCATCCACAACAGAAGTCAAAGACAAATTCTATGATTATCTGGCAGCTACTATCAAAAAAATCTCTGAGAGAAAACCAATGTTCATTCTCGCAGACTTTAACGCTAGAGTTGCTGCTGATCACAATTCTTGGCCCACTTGTCTAGGCCGTTTTGACATTGGAAGGATGAACGAAAATGGGCAACACTTGCTGGAGTTTTGCTGTTATTATGATCTTTGTGTCAGCAGTACGTTTTTTACTATGAAGCTTCAGCACAGAGTTTCCTGGAGACATCCAAGATCCAGGCATTGGCATCAGCTCGATTTGATCCTCACTAGACATTCTAGCCTTCCTAGTATTACGATCACACACAGTTACCAGAGTGCTGATTGCAATACTGATCACTCCCTGGTGTGTAGTAGAGTAAAACTGCAAACAAAGAGATTGTATCATTCGAAAAAGGAAGGAAGACCACGTATTGACATCAGCAACACTCGCGATCCAAGAAAAGTGGAGGAATTTGCCCAAGAGCTTGAGGAAACCCTTCCAGGCCCGGCTGATGCAAAAGCACCTGAACGATGAGAACATTTCGAGAACACTGTGTATAACACTGACTTGTCCACATTTGGCAAGAAGACCAAAAATACGGCAGACTGGTTCAAAGCCCATTCGGAGGAGTTAATGCCAGCCATTGAGGATAAGAGGAGA